CACATTTTAACAAGTGCGATAATTTTAACTTTCATTAATTGGAAGGGCAAAAAAGGAAAAAATCTCACACTACATGTGCGTAGAATTGCTTCGGTTTTGCGGTTGTTAATCTTTCATTCAGTTACTGAAACAACTCCGATGTCATGTATTGACAATTATAATATATTTTCTTCAAAAATATATCAATATACACTTGCAACATGCATTGCGTGTGCCATGAGTCTCCTATAATAGTGTGTATATATACATGTATTTTGTGGTATCAAGAGGTTGGGTTGATTTGGATTCATTTATGATTTCTGCCTCATATTCTATACTATGCAATTTATTCTAATAAGGAATTACCCTTCAACTAGTTACTCGTGAAGAAATGCTAGTTTTCGTTTTCTTTTTCTTTTTCTTTTTCTTTTTCATTTTCTTTTTCTTTTCTAAGGAGGGAATAGAGAAGAGGAACCTAGCAATTTGCATAGCATAGCAGTAAGACTTGTACCAAAGTATCATATCTGATAAGAAAGCGCTTTGTTAGGTTTTGGTAATTGGCAATCCGTTTGACAAAAACACCATGCAATTGTAATTGCTTTTGTTTTGTTTTCGTTTTTTTGTTTTATGAGGTTATGAGAGTATAGATGTGAATCCAACACGTGTTGTGCTTGAATAGAGGAGTTTGTGTTGACATTCCGTATCTTGACTTGAGAATTTCCTGTTTGCTTCTTCTCTGACTAAGTATGGGGATTGAGCGCTAGGAAGCATCTTTTACCGCTCAGTAATTCATTCAGTATCTCAACCTGCATTCTGAACTTTTGGGAAGCATGTTTTACTGCTCAAGCGGTAGATGTTACGCTCAAGCGGTTGGCCTATATGTGAGCACCGCATTTAGTCACACTGCTCGAGCGGCCTTCACTTCCCTTTTTCGTATAAAGTGCATTGTTTGCTCGTTTTAGGGTTGATCCCGTCTATTGATCAATGAACTACATATTGAAAAATATCAAGGGTTGTTTTTGTTCTTTTATACACAAAAGAGAGAGGTGTTCATCAGTGGGTTCCAAGGAACTTGGGCTTGAAACTTTGGTGGATTCCGGAGTTGCTGATCATCGGGGATTCGACATCGGCATTGTGGATTTAATGTTGGGCAAAGCGATTCCAAGGTGAAAATGGTGGTGAAAAAGGCAGATAAGATTCAGTGCAATTTGGGCGTGGATTCACTAGATAATTGAAGCTTCTCGTTGTGCAATTCCTTTTTGTCTTCTTAGTTTGTTTTGTGTCTTTGGCCTATGGTTTTTTATCACAATTGAAGGAGTCCAATTGTGATTTTTTCCACGTTAAATTGTTGTGCCGATTTATTTTTAATTGTTTGATTGGGATTGCTATTCATTGTTTAAAATTGAATCATGATCACAAATCACAATCTTGGGGATTTTTAGATTTTTCACGCTTCATACGCTAAACCAATCCTTGATATTTGCTTATTGATTCTTCAAACACAAGCAATAGTTAATTTTGGTAGGTAGCAGTGTACATTTGGGGTGTCATTTCATTTTTTAAGTGGTTTTATTAACTGGTTTTACACTCAAAATGATTGTATGCAAAGAATTTTTAAGTTAGCAATTTCCTTGGATTCGAGCTGTGTGGTCCTTGTGTTATGTTCCAACAATTTATTAGTCACCTCACCTATTGGCTTATTAAAAATTTAATTAACAGTTTTACCATTTGGTTTCAAGAAATACATCTGAAATTGTCAACTTTTTTCAGTACGAAAGCTATGCAAACCAACTTTACAAAAATACGCTGCTGCAGCCTTTGGGGGCGACAACAACATATACATTTTTTAGATTCATTTAGTATTCAATTACACGCAAAGCCAAACAAAATGTCTCCTTCCTCACACTTGACTTTAGCAATTGAATGCATTAATTTCAAATCAAGCAGTATTTTCTGAGATCTCTCGTGGAAGTGGTGAACTTTGCTCGTCAAACTGTAAAGGTATATATGATCATAAATTTTTTGAAAATACTGTCTTAAAAAAAAAAAATTAGCGATAAAATTTTGAAAATGTCCTTTATAAAAGTATATTTAGGGACAAAAACAATTTTGTACCAATAAGTTTATTTTTGTGACAAAAATTTTGGTTCCAAAGATAGTAATTCATTCCTAAATTTTAAATTTCATCGCAAAAAATACAACAATGACACTTTTGGCAACTAAGATAATTCGTCTCTAAATTTTTCTCTCTAATACCTTAATTTGTTTTCATGACCAGATATGGGCAAGTTCGTTCATTTTAGATTAATTTGTGTAATCTAGGTAGGTATCTTGAGGCTTTGTTTCAAGTTGTTGCCTCTATTTTAGACTTGGTTGGTATTCTAATGATAACATCACATGGAGACATTGGATAGTTCAAAATTCTGTTTTGTTGGGAGTGTTTTTAGGCACGGGTGTGGTTCATTATCTTTGAGCTTCCTCTTCTAATGAGCTAGATGTCCAATGGCTAATAGCCACATTACATATGGGATTTATTTTATCAATCAACAGTGAACCTTTGCAGCTGTAACTCAACTAAAAAGAGCACAAAGATAATGAACCATACTAATTTCATACTTCTTACTTCTATGACGACATCTATGTGCTAATACAGAAAAGGAACTTTCAGACAATCCTAACAACAAATGTATGTCCTAAAAAGATTTATTCAATGAAGAAAAGCCTCAGCAGTTATGCAATCAAAGATGAGAAATTGAAGGACTGCCATTCCATGTTACTTGTAAAGAATATTTCCATGAAAAATTGGGGGTAGATTTGGATTGTTAAAATATTTTTTCAAATGAAAATGGATTTTTCTTCTTTCAAACTCAGTTCAATAAGGAAGGAGATATTAGACCAAGTCTTGGATAGCGGTACTCGGCATTTTGCAAGAAAATGGAAGCCTAATATGTATTTGTTAAAAGAAAATTTTGAAGAAGGTGCCGGTACAGGCACTGTTTTGTAATATCTGCTTAGATTTTTGGACTGAGAACGGACTAGTAACATTGCTAGTGCCACTTGCAAGCCTTTGTATTCTGGCTGACGTACCAAATCTTACAAAAGATTTATCTTTCTGAGAATCTACAATTGAGGTGGATTTTTATTTTATGTTTCCAGAGAAAATAAAGTTGCAGTTCTCCAGTGTTGATAGTAGGATTAAACCAATCAAATATCCTTGGAAACCCATTGGAGACACCAAATGCAAATTGTTTGGGCATAATGAAGTGAAATGCTTTGTGGGAAATATACTGAAAAGCAGCGGAAAATGAAATCAACAAATGACAATCCTAAAAGGAAAAGTGGGTCATTATTACTTAGAAAATTAAAATGAAAAAAAAAAAATTGAGATCGAGGAAAAGATGGACACTGTGGAAAGCTTAGACACTGTTTTCGAAGAAATTTTCAAAGAAAATGGATCGTCAAATACAAGGTGCTATTAGGTAGGCTCTTCATTTTGTCACATTGATGATATTTCTTAGGACCTATTGGTCAATGATAAATAGTGTGAAGAAAATAAGCAGCTTGATGGCAGATTAGAAGGGGAATGATGCATACCAATAAATGCTTTCCAAATTGAGAACACATTAGAGAAGTGCTTAGGAAGTAGTATAATTATCTGATGCTAATTAATGAACCAAGATTACAACTAAAAGGCCTGTCAATAATACCCATACCTGATTTGAAAACAATAAACTTAGAGATGTTAGGAAATTCATAAATGAGAATAAAATGACCCTACTAGAATTAGTGGAGAGCAAAATACGGTTCGGAAACATCATCAACATTGCTCAGAATTGTTAGCCTCTAACCATTACAATATATTTCATAATGCTAATGAAAATACCATTGGGAGAATTTGATGGGTTGAAGATAGTCTTACACAGTTTTTTTCTTTCACTTTCCCTCCACAAATACCCCCTTAAATCTGTTATCCAAACACAACTTAAAAGTTTTAAAGTTGCAAACCTGTAAACAATTACTATTTGCAGAGTTGAATTTCTGGATAATAATATGAAGTCTTGCTTTGTATCCCCCCCTAGGATGAAGATACTCTCAAAGAAGTTGAAGATGAGTTCTTGGCTCCTGTAGGTTCAGATCATTGTGCTCCTGTTGTTACTTTGATGCCTGAAATTGAATTGCGAAAACTTTTCAAATTCTTTAATTATTGGATGAGACCTGGGAATATCAAGCAGATTCTTCGAACTTTTGAAAATTTGAATAGTAACATGCTCTCAAGTGTTGAGAAATGAGTCCTAAAATTAAAAGACTGAGTATGTTCTTAGAGAGTTGAACAAACTGCTATAACTTCAGCTTGAGAGTGCTTTAGCTCATCATATTACCACAAAGAACAGGAGGCCCTTCAGCATTATATCAATCTCTATGTTTCAGAAGAATCATTCCACAAGTAAGTCCAGAATAAGATGACAGCTTTGAATATATATATATATATATGGTGCGGATATATTATGTATGTCCACATATATGTATTTATGTCTTTTTCCCTTGACAATTTTATACTTGACTCCATAGTTTTTTTTTTTTTAATTTTTTTATTTTGGCAGGTATTATTTTCCAAGGTCCAAACTAGCATTTTGCCCTGGGAACATCTACTAAACTGAATACAGAATCTGAACTTTGTTCATGTAATTGTGCTTCTACATCATTCATACAATCACATAAAAAAACATACTCTCTCTCGAGAATGCTCTTGAAAAGTGAATACCATGTGAACACTCAATTAGGCCATGTGGCACAGAGTAGAAGTAAGTTAAATTCTAATAAATCAGCAACCTAACCACCTATAAATGAAGATGTGTATCCAGGGACTTAAAACAAGGCTCAGGACTTCTTCTTTCATATGTATTCATGTTGTTTCATTAAAGAAACTGCTACACTGCCAAAAAAACAGCACTAATTTGCCCTTAATGTACAAGTTAATAGCTAAAATAATTGATTGGTGGGACGTCTAATGGACTAGCAAATTGGATAAAACAGAAATTGTGCTGATTTAGCTATAATACAATCAAATAGCTACAACTCCAATTGTTTATTAAGGTAGTAAGCAATAAAATACAGTAGAAGCATCATGGTTTCTATTAGAAAAAATCAACTATATGATTACACTCCGTAACTTGGAGTGCCCAAGAAATTTTAATAAAGCTATGAATGCCGACAGTGCATGGGATGTTAACTGCTGAAGTGTGAGCAAGTTGGATGGTGTTGGACCCCTTGCATGAGTTACTTCTTTCTTTATTTGGATAAAACAGAGACAGCTAATAATTGGAATGTTCTAGAAGGATAGGAAGTTTAGCAGGCAGAGTCCATCCAAAAGATTCATCCACTATGTTGTCAGCCTCAAATGCTAAAGCATTAACCCAAGCGTTTGCTTCTCTTCTCTTCCAAGAACACCGTAAAGGATTCAAGCTGCTGCAAATTATATTAATCTCCTCCACAATGTCTCCAATAACTGAAATATCTCCTGAACAATTTTGAAGCAGAATCTTCAATGCAAAACTGTATACCCCAAAGCTTAGGGCTTTAATATGACCTAATCAAAATAATTAAAATGTGTTATGATTATTGTGATGGTTAGTGATGGTGGTTGGTTGGATTTTATTGTCTAAGCTAATGTTTTCTTTTTTTTTTTGATCGGCAAAACAAAAGACTTTATTGATGATAAGCCCATACAAAGTATGAAAAGTTACATCAATAAAGTGGAACTTGGAGCTAAAACCGAGCTCCAACCTCCTAGTTGGTGAGAAGCCAACAAAGAGAAACAAAAACCAGAACAAAACCAGAGCAAAACATTAAAACCAGAGCAAAACCATGAGCAGCAGAACATCAGCAAGACATGAGCAGCATCAGCATCAACACCTCACAATAAAGCATAGCAGCACAACAGCAGCTCATTAGCTACAGCTAACCCCATCAGTGCAGCAGCAAACCAGTGAATCACCAACAAACTACTAGTTCACAGGTTCACACCATCAGTGCAGCAGCAAACCAGTGAAGCACCAACAAACTACTAGTTCACAAGTTTACCCTATCAGTGCATGATGCAGAATTTCACATTTTTCAAATTGAACACTATGTCATTGACTGAATAGCAACAAGAAGGACTAGAAGCTCTGAACCACAATGCAATCCGTGTTTTGATAAGTTCACACAACTTTTCCTAGTCCACCTGTGTGTCATTAAGAAGATTTTCATTCCCCTGCTTCCATATAGACCATAGCACTGCCACTGGAATAATCTTCCAAAGCACCTTCAGTTTGTTGTTACATCTATAACCAGTCCACCACTGAAAAATTCCAGAAACTGACCCCGGCTGCACCCCAGATACTCCCCACCACCCAATAATATTGGACCAAACTCTCCAACTAAAAGGGCAGCACAGCAGCACATGAGTGACAGTTTCCACTCCATTCCTGCAGAAGATACAGTTAACATCTGAATTGGCACTAAGTACTCCAATTCTTTTCAAATAGCAAGCAGTCTTGATCCTCCCTTTCCATGCTCACCCTTAACATAGTAAAATCTCAATTGGTTAAAATTTATAACGTTATGGATTTGAAAATAAAAACTTGAAAAAATGAAATTGTGGCAACAAAATAAAAAATAAAACAAAATAACTGGTCGAATGAAATAGTAACGCTGCCTCCTATAAAAAAAGCAACAATACTACAAACTCACCCTTATCTACCTAGAATTTACTAAAAAAAGAAATCAATGGCTTAGATTCATTTCAAATGTAGACCCCACACTTCATCAATTCAAATTCCACTACAGAAACACATTCAAGGTAAATTCAGGATTCGTAAGGGTGGGTTCCTAGCATTTTTCACAAAAAAAAAGACAAGTAGTCATACACAAACACAGGCGCTTATCTCACACAAGGTGCATACGCAATGAATTGATCACAACACTAGGGACAGACAGATTGTACTGTGCCATATATGCTTCTCTGCCTTCACTTTGTATGGAAGTCATGGTCATGAAGGAATTAGATGCCACACCAGAGAAGATCTTTACATTGGTGCCCTCTATAGCTGGTATGATGTCCTCTGGAGTGAAGGTGTCAGTAGTCCGCATGCAATCTGGTACCACGGCAGGCACTCTAGGGGCAGCCATCCCCATAGACTAGCAGTATCTTCGCTTGTCGAAATACCAAACTCAACAGAAGGGGCCCTCTAGCAAAATCCTCTCCAACTCACCAGAGTGATGTCGAGCACCGCGATGAAGCACATCACAGTATTCGATGCCACACCTGTCCACAACGCCCAAGTCACAAACAAGACAAGCATGAAGTTTAGAAATCTCATAGCATAATGAATGAAAGCAACATAGTACATGATTGAAGAGGGATTAAGCCAATTGCCTGATTAGGGGTCACTATGTCGAAATACTAAGAATTGTTCTTCAAGTGCAACCTTGATATTCAAAGGTCCAACATTCATGTTTTTTGTCCAAAAACGTGGAAACACAATATATAGCATAAGGATGCAAGCAATATGAGGCCAATTATTCAGAATCCATAATCATACTCTCAAATTAATCAACATTTCTCTTGTATGGTTGAAACCCATGCATTCAAACTTCATATAATCTTCATATCTCCATTAATCAAACATGCATGTCAATTTTGACTCCAATTCTAGTACAAATGGCACTTGTAATCATGAAACTCATGTAGATTATGCATGCATGAGAGATTTGGTGCCCAATTCTCCTTGTTTAACATGATTCATGCTCAAATATGCAAATTCATAGCAATTCTTTGCATGCATGTACATAAAAGCTTTCAATTCTTCAATTTCATTTCAATTTATGTTCTTGATCACCATCAAACCTTGAATTAACAAAACTACAAACTGAAGCTCATAAATCTTTGCTTAATTACTCACCTAGGAGCTTCAATTCTCACAAATTGTAGTTAAATCTTGAGCCTAGCTGTAGACACCCCATTTTTGACCATCCTCAAGACTTGGACGTCATCGTTTGAACACTCGATGATCATCCATGTTCCTGTTCGTCCTGAGTTCTCGGAGGTTTCGTTCGCGCGCCTTGCCTCAAGACCTCTCGACCTGTGTGTTTTGTGCTTGGTTGTACACCAAACACTTGTGTTTTTGCTTCTGAGGGCAGGGAATGGCTTGTTGGCCATCCCCACACCTCACCGGCCTTGGCTTGAGGCCATCGACCTTGTTTTCTTGCTATCGGCCAGGTATTTTGGTCGGTCGACAATGTTTTTGGTCGGCTGGCCATTTTTGTTGGTCAATCGGCCATTTCTGCTGGCTGACCACTGTTCATCTGCTTTATGCAGATATTTAGTGCCAGCTGGCACAACTGGTACGCACAATTATTCCCCTCCATACACGTGTATGGAGAGATTTGCCTCATGTTTAGCTTCTCTTGGAAGCTCGAGAATTTGAGCCTCTATAAAGAGGGAGCCCCTTCTCCCTCCTCCAGGGTTCAGAAAAATTAGGGTTAGAAAGTGAGGTATAGTTTTGTATCTATACTCCCTTGTTTGATCCCATTTTATGCCTTAAAGTGAGTTTTTGTCTTACTTTTGCACTAGAACACCTAGCATTACACCACCCTTGGGTTGTTGAGGCCTTAGAAGATTGTTGTTAGGGTTCTTGGACTGGTTTTGACAAAAGAAAGGTGTTGGAGCTTTGTTCCTAAAGAAGGTCTATAAGGGTGAGCATTCTTACTTTAGTTACCCCTTTTTTGCATAAGCTTTTAGCCTATCTTGCTTATTGTTTTGAGCTTTGACTATAACTGATAAAAGTTTTGATTTTATGTGTTTTAGAACTTTGTTTGAGGTCACTTTGAGGTTTGGGGTTGTCTCCCCCCTCCAAGGCCTTGTTAGGCCTTGTTTTAGGCCATACCTTTTGGCCATTGTTTTGGTCTTTGCATGACCTCTCTACCACTGAAATCCAGAGGATTTTCAATGGTGGAGAGGTGGTTTTAAGGTCCTAAAAAGGAAAGGGTCATCCCCTCTCGTTGTTGTCTTTAATGCTTGCATAAATGGCTTATGTGGTAGCATGTGTGTTTAGTTTGATTTAGCTTCATTTCAGCATGTATTAGGCTTTGTTTTGCCATGATACGCCTCTATTTTGAGTTGGTTTAGACATGCCATGTATGCTTCATACACTTGTCTTGTAATCCCATGATTTGGCCTTAATATGCATCATGTTGTAACATGTGTTTCTAGCATGATTTTGGCTCAACTCCATGAAGCTTTTAGCCTTGTTGTAGCATGCTTAAGCTCTCTTTTTCATTGTTTTGGTCATGCTTGCAATGTTTTGTATAGCTACTATGTAATCTAGTTTGTTAGCTTTGAGTGTCCAAGTTGCTAGCATGCTCTATGTGGATCATTTCAGTGGTTTGGCATCACTTAGAATGTTATTTCAGTCCATATTTCATGCTTGAATACTTGCACTTATCAATCCTTTATTGTCTTAAAGAGTTTGTGTTTTATGCCTATGCCATCATGCTTAGGTCAACGGGATGCCATCTAAGTGGGTTTTTGGGCTCATTTTGACATGTCATACCTCTTATTTTGGTTGCTTAAATCAAGCCAAGTTTGGTTGTATTAGGTGTAGTGTAACACCTCTTTGATGGCCTTACATGCCTCATGATTTTGCCCCTTTGTTTTAGCTTGTTTTGGCTTTGGTCATTGCATGTCTTAGGCTTACTTTAGCATGATTTAGGACTATTTTGGGTCAAACTTGCCATATGCTCTTTGTTTTGTGTAGCTTTGGTTCAAGTCCCTCAACTAGTCTTAGGCTTCAGTCTTGAGCATGCCATGCTTGACTTGTTTATGTGATTTGGCATCACTCCTAGCTTCATTTCAGAGCATGTAATGTTGTCACATTTGCATGCTTTTCATTCCTTTTAAGTTTGCTTAAAGGTTGCCCCCCTTTTATGCTTAAAGTGATGGGCCATTAGTATGCATGTTTGTATGTGGTTTTGTCCCTTATCTCTTAGCATTTTGGCCACTGATTTGGACCTATTAGAGAGCTATCCATCTTGGTTTAAGACCATTCTCGCATGTTGTTGCATGCTTGCCTTGTATGTTGTCACATACTTGTTGCATATTTGATGAATTTCATGTTATAGCATGCTAGTTCAATTGTGCCTTGTTGTGTACTTGGCCCATAACATGCTTGTTGCATACTTAGTATCTTGCATGTTGTTGCATGCTAACCCCATTGTATTTTTTTGCATGCCATACTAGCTTACATGTTTAGGTTGTATGCCTATTACATATTAGTTGCATGCTTGCCTCACATGTTGTTGCATGCTTGGTTTCTTTGCGTGCTTGCTTGCATGCCTAAGGTGCATTGCATTGAGTGTGCATTCCCTTTCCTCTTGATAAACCATGATAGAAGTTAGGGTCCTTTATGTGTTTTATGTGCATTTCATTTGATATTAAAATGCACACTTGACACCTTTGGACATCATGCATTGAAATGCGTGATTGATGGCCCGAGGGTCGAGAACCATGCTCCTCTAAGTCTCAAACATGATGAAGAGGGTGGTGGTGCATAAATTGCTTTGAAAATGCATTGCCATATTCTATCTGTCCTCTGCTACAGCAAACCAGTGTTCTGCAGAAAGAAATGGCCAGTCGGTATCTTTCAGTGCCGGCCGACCACTAATATCTAGCCGGTGATCCGCTTTTTTGGTCGATGACCATATTTCCATGGCCGGTGGTGTTTTCTCTTGGTCGGTGGCATTCCACAGTGTTCAGGGAGTGATTCTGAAGCTTCCTTGGGACTTGTGAAGTTTTAGAAGTACAGATCAGTGTAAACAGAGGCAGCATAAGTATGGCGACGGATTTCTGAGCGAAGCCGTACAAGCATGCATGCATCCCTCGCCTTGAGTCCATTTCAGCATTTTAATAACTTAGACTAGTTATTTATTATGATTTGGTTGTGTAATTAGCTTGTTAGTTAATTATTTGATTTGTATTATTCTTTCGGTCCCTCCCTCGAGAGGCAGCAATTATGTAATAAGCGTGCGTGTGTGTGATACATGTTTTCCAACCTCCACTTCCTTCTCCCTTTTACTTAACTACTTACGATGGTTAGTTCTAGGGCATATTTGATTTAGCATACCTTATGCTATGCATGTTTGTATTCATTCATCTGTATTGCATGCACCGGGCTCGGCGCATCATACTAACTGCATTGTATTTAAATTTTAACTTGAATACATGTATCAAATTGCCGCATTTCACATGCCATTCTTAGAATAGTCGAGCCTATCTTAGTTGCATTTTTGCATGTGTTGCATTAGGCATTTTAACATGAATTAGGATCATGCATGATTCCTAACTAGTTTCTTGTTTTGGCTCGGAGTACTAGGTAAGCTTTTATGCTTTAGCATCCTTGCATGCGTGTGAGTGATTGCCATGATAGCATGCTTACCATGAGGCTATTTGCTTATGTGATAAAACTGCCTGAATGCCTGTGGGTGAAGGTTGGGTTACTTGAGTTGGAATAATTCATCGAAACCCATGTTTAGCCTACTTGCGAGTAGCAAACTTCAATCCATTTTCAAAACAAACGGATATGCGACGCTTTGTTCCAACTTAGGCAATCTAGTCTACACTTGTATGCTGTGTGCATCACATAGTAATTCTAGGCTTATAACCGGAATAAGAGCACATAATGTTTTCAAAACTCGATATCATGGTTAGTAGAGGCCGATCTTTGATCGGGCGAGCGGGGGTGCTCACTAAGTGACCTTCCCCAATTGTACCCAAGTTCCCGAGCCGAGGCGACTTTGGTGATGACGGACACGTGGCCTTAGGCACGAGTCAGGCTTTCCTAAATTTTCCAAAATAAAATATTTAGGTGGCGACTCGGTATCTGGCAAAGCAGTCCATGTTTGGCACTTCTTTTTAAAAATCGGTTTTTCAAAACGATTTGCCGAATTTGGACTCTTTGATGATTCATCGGTCTTGCATTGCACTCTGCGAGATTAGATACAAGACCGTGACATTGAGTCCAAACTGTAGTAAGCCCTAATGAACAAAACGGGATTCCCTCAGGGGACGTTCGGGGGCGTCTATAATTTCTGGCGACTCCACTGGGGAGTTAAAGAACTTGGCTCGAACTCATGATATCTTGTTTTGACTACACTCATGTGTTTCTTTGCATTGGATGTGCATTGGTGCGCCTAGAACACCGTGTTTGCCATCTCCTATTCCTGAACGGTGTGCTAGAGGCTCACTTTGAAAAGCATGCCATAAGGCTGACTGGTTACGGGCTCTGCCATGATGGGAACACAAACCCCAGTTTTCACCGGGGCACCCTTTGTGACCATTCGACCTAGTACATATTCGGAATCCATAGAGACTATTCCAAACTAGGACAGGTTGCTTACCCG